CACACACACACACACACACACACACACACACACAAACTCGCAGGGAAGAGAATGACATGAACACAGAGCAGAGGAACAGAGACGACCAAAAACGAAAAGGGCGGTCGACACTCACCTTGCGATGGGGAGCGAAAACGAAGAGGACAGGAGGTTGGCCTTCACTGCGGCGGTGCGTCAACAACAATGGGGTTCGAAATTGAATTCAAATTTCCAATGCCTCACTGCTACAGGGGCAGCACAGGAAGATGGGTGCCTCTTATGAGGGCATATGGCGCAGAGCCCGATGGAATGTTACCGCCAGTTGAGGGAGGAAGTCCTGGAAAATTGCGGCCACTACCAACAGGGGTCTGCCGAAAAGATATTTAGGCCCTGGGGTGCGACAGGGTAAATCGGTTGTCGGAGGGGCGCGACGCAAATTAATGGAAAATACAGGGGCGTCAAACAAATTTTGCCAAAAATATAAAATGTTTATTTTCACGAAATGGCTGTTCTTTTTTTTGGTCTCAGTCCGTCCAGTTAATAGCAAAGTCCCGGGAAAGTCAGAGAACTTCTGGAAGCAACAAACATAGGCCCAGGGATCAGCCCATGAGGGCTAGAGCAAGTCCCGAAGCGAATCGCTGGGTACAGAAGTCCAGTTGTTGAAGTCATCAACATACATTCACTTGCGTAGTGTATGCTCTTATCATCACTCCTATCTGTCAATGCGGGGTTAAAAAAAAAAAAAAAGGCAGAAACACTGTCGTGAAACTTTGGGATGTGTTCAAGTTGTGGGGCACTGGCGTAGGAAGTGGTCGATGGCACTGAGCATCCATAGCCCATAGCTATGTCAAGTAAGGGAGAGCGAGTGCCACCGACAGGCGTTACGCCACCAGTACTTCCTAAAGTCGTGCCCATTAACAAGCCACAATTTTAGGAAACGTACGGGTCACTATAGGAACGGTCAAATTCATCCAACTAGAAATGCTGCTACTCTATTTTTTTCCACGACCGATAGCTAGGTCAGGTACTGGTGGTTTAAGAGGGAAAATGAGGCCAAGGGTAGA